GTCTGACTTTCAGCCTAGCTTTTGACCATTTTTCAAATACTTGTACTCCATTTCTCCCATTACCAGAAAGCCAAGCCATTCCAGCCCCATAGGGTACCACTCAGAGTATAATTGAGATTTGAATGAACAACACATGTGGCTTTTAAGGTTAAATGAATATTGTTTGACATACAGTACACTAGAGTTGTTTTTCATTTTTGTCTAAAAAATTGGTTAAAATTACATCTTGTTGCTTCTCGGAATTAAGTAGAATCCATCTGTCTCCATTAGAATCACTGTTCTTTTTTTTTCAAAGCTGTGGTTGAAAGAAAAAAGTTGCATATCACTTCAGACAAATTTCCAGTGATTTGGGAAAATGAAACAGTTTTTAGGGTATTGGTGCCTATTTTCCTAACAATATAATAGCTAAGATTATAAATGGATATGCCGTATCTATTTTTAGCTATTCAAACAGACACTACCTGGGTCTAGAGAGCTACTTTTAGACATACAAAATAAGAGCATCTAAAATGATTATTTCAGTATGTCAATGAAGATTTTAATTAAAGAGGTTAACTGAAGTGTTGAAACATTTAGCAGCTATTTACTAAAGTGTTCACACTTGGGTAATGTCATTCTGATGACTTTAAAGTCTCAAAGGTGACAGGAATACTAGCATCCCCTAGTATATGAAGTATATATTATTTATACATTATGTAATTTTATAGTATATATTAGTAATATATAGAATATACAGTAAACAGAGTCTCTCCCCTTTTCTTTTTTCTCTCCCCCTCTCTCTGTATACTCAGAAATAATAGCTCCAGTAACTTTTTAAGTTGTTAAGATACTTCATTTTATGCATATGTATCTGTCTGCAAGTCCTTGAACTTGTGAATACAAGGCTGTTGCACATTCATCTAACTTTGTGTTACAGGGTATTTATCTTCTGCTGTCATGCTTGACACGGCCTTATCTCATTTGCGTTGCCATCTTAAGTTTCTGCTATGTGTGATTGCATGCTACTGTAATGCTTCTGATGTTTGACTGGACTCGAAGTACTTTTAAATGCTCTTTAATGAGAAACCTTTTTCAAAACTCCAGTACCTACCTATAATAAACCATTTGTTTGCTACTATCAATCAGGAAATCCTTAAAAGTGAATGTGATGATGAGAACTGCTCTGTGGTTCTTCTTTTGTAATTTCTTCTCTCTCTTCTGCTACTCATATCTGCCTTGGAGCCTTATCATGTAGCTTTATTACATTTTATTTTACCACTTGCTGGTAAATCCCTTCCTAGTTTCTGTTGTCTTCCTGATCTACTTTCATTTGGTTCAGACCCACCATTGCCAACTAAGACAGGGCACACAAATCTCAGTTTATCCCGATTCAGTCACTGTCAAGGACACTGAACACCTCTCTAGATTTTCAAGCTGACAATTACTTTATGCTGTTTTCTTCTCTGCCTTCTTCCTCTGTGGTCACATCTACCACCAGTCTTAACTCTTGCTTTTGCTCTGGAGCATGGCCTATCACCTGTTACCAGAACTGCGTCCTGGTTGGACTCTGAAGTTTTAGTGGTTCCCAGCTAGGCTACAGTCTGCTGACAGAAAACCCTTCCTTGGGTATCATTTGTACTATAGGACTTTCTACTTAAAAAATAATAATGGGATGAAATGTGAATTCTTCAACCTGCTTTTGATGCCACCAAATTATTTGCAACCCCTCTTATCCTCAAAAACATCCTACTTTGACCCTCCTTCTCCTCCTTCACCCCTTTTCTCCAATCAGTTACCAACCCCATATCTTCCCATTGTAAAATTTCTATTCAAACAATACCTGATGTCTTCGTGCTTACTTCTGTGTGGCTTGTTATTTCCAAAGTGCTGCTTCTTTGCAAATGTCACTCATTTCAACTAGGTACTCTGTCCATACTAGCAGTGTCCTTATAAACATTTCTGGATCTACTCTAAAATAAAATATGGATCATAGTTCATTTAAAATTCTTTCCCCATGATCCCATCTGATTTGCTCCTTTTCCCGACTCAATATGGTTTAAGCATATATATTCCATTTGTTTTTTCCAGTTGCTAGTCGTCATATGTTTTTAAACTGTATCTTAAACTGACATCCAGTCCCTTCCAAATTCAATGCAAACATCTTGAGGGCATAGGGCCCAGCATGATTTGTCTCACTTGCCATAGTATCAATATTTCCACTTATGCAGCATTCAACACTTGTTATTTGACTCCTCAACATTATGTCCTGTCATAGCCAACTCCCAACTCTCACTGTAGCCAGTCAGATTTTCCACATAGGTTTTCATATAGTCTTTGCTTATCATCTGCACCCACACAGAAAGAAAACTGTTCTTCCAGCCACACACAATTTGGTATTTTTACTGCAGTTTAATTCAGTTACATATTAAGCCACTGATATGTACCCAGCAATATACCAGCTGTTTCAGGCCAACTATTTTTAAATTTCTGTATGTATCCAACTCCATTGAAGAGCTCATCAAAACCTAAACTATTGGCCCTTATCCCATAGTTTCCAATTCAGTAGGTCTGGGGTGGGATCCAAACTTTTGAGTGTCTAACAAATTCCCAGATGATGACAAGGACCACACTTTGGAATGTAGTGACCAAGAAGCTACAAAGATAGTGTATAAAGCATAACCTCTCATTTTAAGAAATTTATAGGTTGTCTACAAAGGACCAAGAAATATTTCACAGTGGAAAATATAATTCTTTGTTATCCATTCATGCAGCAGATACTGAATGAATACTATGTGTCAGTTGCAATTGTCTGTGGTATTAATACATAAATGACAAGGATAGACAAAATGCTTCGATTTGAGAGAAAACAAAATGAGCAAAAATACTAAAAATGTAAGGTACTTGTAAGTACTCAGAAGAAAAAGAGAGGAAAAGTAATACCCAGGGTTATCACTGGTTTCCCAGTTCCATCATTTGATGGCTATGCCATCACAAACTACAATGAATAAACCATGCTTTCATAGTATGAACATGAATCTTCAGGAATTTGGGGACCTGTGATTTGGGTGTTAACTTCAGTGAATATTGTTTAACTATGAATAGCTACTTTACTTTCTGACTTTGGTTTCTCCATCTCTTCCATGTAATACTTGCACAAAATTATGTCTGAAGTTCTCTACTTTTTAAACAGTGTAGGATACTAAGTCCTTCAGGCAATATAAATCAAATAAATGATCTAGACACTGTAGTTCAAGCCTATAATCCTGGAATGTGCGAAGCTAAGGCAGGAGGCTATCAAGTTAATTTTCAAGCTTTTTCGAGTCCTGAAAAATTACATAAACTTCCCCAATAGTGTTATCATGTACCTGAACCAGTTAAAAGGTTACTATTTAGTTCCAAGGTTTTGAAAGCTTGAGGGATTAATTATAGCAGAAAGATCCTATTTGTCCATGTTCTATGTTATCCTGTTTAATAGCTAGCAGGTGTTTAGCATAATACAATATGTATATATATATGTACATATTATGTGCACACACACACACACACACACACACACACACACACACACACACACACATATATATATATATATATATATGCTTGTCATAGGTAACCAAAGCTTCTTGAAAATTAGCCAATTTATTTTTATTTTTGATCAATTGATGAATACCCATATCTTATGTATGCTTATATTTCCCAAAACATTTAACATAAAGTCTTTCTCTTAGAAGCAGTTATTCCGAGTTGTGTGTAGTGTTGCACCCCTGTAATGTCAACTTGAGGCAGAAGGAAGGACAGTGAGCTCCAGAACAACCTGGGCTATATAATGAGTTTAGCTCCAACTACATAGCAAGACCCTAGCTTAAAACAAAACGGTAGCTATTCTGGAAGACTTCAGTGGATTTACTCAAAGAGTGGATCATACAGACCTAGAGCAGTGGTTCTCGCCCTTCCTAATTCTGCCACTCTTTAAAACAGTTCTTCCTGTTGTGGTGAAACCCCCAGCCATAAAATTATTCTTGTTGCCACTTCAGAACTGTAATTTTGCAACTGTTATGATCATAACATGAATAGTGTTTTCTGAAGGCCTTAGGCAACACCAGTGAAGGGGTCGTTCAATCCCCCAAAGGAGTAATGACACACAGGTTCAGAAATACTAACCTAGAGAAAGGTGTGTCAGATCAAACTTAAAGACAGTGTTGTGCTGTTTTATTACTATAGCTCTGTAATATAGCTTGAAATGTGGCATGGGAACCCCCTTAAGCATTATTCTTTTTACTTGGGATTGCTTTGACCTCTATATGAATTTTAGATTTTTTTCTGATCTATATACCTATGTATATGTGTTTGTGTGTGTTTGTGTGTGTGTGTGTGTAACAATAGTAACTAAAGAAGAGATCATGAATTTGAGAGTGAATGATGAGGGACATGGGATAAATTGGGAGGGTATGGAGGAGTGGAACTAACCATAGTAAATAGTGCATTCATATATGAATTTATAAAACCATTAAAGAAAAACTAAGAAAGACAGCATCTTGGATACTTCTTGCGTAAATACTCTAACCATAGAAAGTTTAACTTTTACTTTTAAATCAATTCATAGCTACTCAGAGACATAATGGTGAACTTAAATCTTTACTAACGAAAACTTCAAAAATCATTGTTTAAGGATAGTATAAACACACATTAAATATGATCTGTAAAATACTTAACTATCACTAGAATAAAATAAGCAAAAGTAGTGATGGCTATATTAAGGTAAAAGTGATTATTTTCCCTTTTATATTCCAAATTCTGGTTAATGTTACCAGTTGATCTATTTAGAAACTGGTAACTTTCTTCTGAGTTGTTTTGAATCATGAGACCCACCCAGAGAAATTGTTCAGTACTGTTTTTTTTAAGAACTAAAATGCCTTGAGAACTTTAGAAACATAGTTCCAAAAATGTGGCTGGGTCAAAAGGGTGTTATTTTTCCCTTCTATGTATGTTTGATTCTTTTTTTATTTCTTTTTAATAAACAGGGGATGGAGAATTGTCATGGGAACATTCTGATGGCGATATCTTCCGGCAGCCTGCCAACAGAGAAGCAGTAAGTGTGAAGAGCTCCAAGATTTCCACACTCTACAGCAACAAGCCAAGCTTTTTTCCCCCATGGAAAAAAAGTCTCCATCAAATCCAAAAGTGGACCCATTTCTAACATCACTTTCTTCTCCTTCCTCAGAGAAACTGAATGATGTCATCACCAAGCTCTAAATATTTATCATCTCTAATTAGTGCAAGAACATGAATGAAGAACTACCATAGCCTTTTGTCTAGATCAGAAGTTGGTACTCTTTTCGCATGACCAGACAAATCTGTATGTTCTGTCTAAGGAAGACAGTCACCATCCCTCTTCTCAACAGTGAATGCTTTCTATGTGGTTTTAACATAGTCTACTTCATCCTTTTCGTTAGATTCCTTATAAACCTAAAAGCTCTTGGTCATGCAGTTCAAAGAAAAAAATGTGGGCCAGATTCTCCTTCCTTTACCCTTATTTCTGTTGCTAGCACAAATCTTAGAATAAGTCTAACAAGTAGAACTCTTCTCTCTCTCTCTCTCTCTCTCTAATATATGTATGTGTATATATATATTTTTTTATTTAATCAATTAACAAAATAGAACATCTCTAAGTATGAATTCTAAGAGTTAATCTTCAAACATCTTGAAATTTGAAAAGGAAATGTTCAAGCTCAAAGAATAAATCACATTAAGGGGCTTACAAAAGTGTTTCCAAGTACAAGGGTGTTTGTCATTTCACACAGACAGGAGCAATGACAAAATGCACCTGCCGAATAAGAACCATTTTTAAAATGTCATTGCAGCATTGTTTTCATAAGTTTAACAAATTAGCATAAGTATTTATCAATATAGGCTTGGCTCTATATGACCAATCACTGGGATACTTGAAGTTATTAATGAATATATAATGTGAGTTGACAGATGGCTCATCGGGCACGTGGCTGCCAAGCATGAGTCTTATCTCGAGGACCAACATGTTGAAAGGAGAGAATCAACTCAAGTTTTCCTCTGCCCTCCACACACAGCCATACCATTGTACAAGTATGATCATACACACACACACACACACACACACACACACACACACACACACACACGCACATACAATAAGAAAATACGTAAATAATTTTAAAAGCAAAATCACATCTATATGTATCAATACAGAAAGAAAAACTCAAAACATAATAAGACAAATGTAAAATGTGTTTGTGCTTTTATAAATGTATAAATGAGAACTATCTGAAAGGTCCTGCATCCGCATGATAAGAATAGTAATAGAAGGACAGAAGTAGACATGAGGAAAAGCAGACTTTGACTTCTTAATATTCTGTGACTTCGTGTTTTTCCATGGTATGAGTTAATTTAATAATAAATACAATTACATGATTTTTGTCAAACCTTAGAATCTAGAAATAAGTCAGAAGACTAGATAATTATAGAGCAGGCTATTTTCATAAACAGAGAGGGCATGATGACAGAGTTCACAGACTTTGCTCTTGAATGACAGATGCAAAAACATCACCCTGTCACTTAGGTAGGCTAGGCTTCACTGTCACAGAGGCCAGTTCTGACTTGCACAACCCATCTTGCCAACACCATACCAAAAGCTTCAGCAGTGGTAATACATGTTTCAGTTTGCCTTACAACTTAGCAGTTTTGCTTTCTGAACATTGCTACTCCAGAATTTAGTGTAGAATTATGGACAAGCTGGAAAGCAACACTTTAGGCACCTCACAAAAGCAATATTTGTTTCACAACAGAGATTTAATTGCCACAATGAGGGAAAAAATTTCTCATTCCACTCTGTCTGGTTTAGAGTGAGATTCTGTACAGATCCTAACAAGACATGATAGCGATAGGTTTTCCATGCTGTGAATTTCCTCTTTTCCTCGACCCAGCTTTTTTGTTTTGGTAAGAAGTTGAGAGCAACTGCATTAGTGGCTGTAGCTAGATGTCACTCAGAACTTCAGCCCCAGTCACTACTTATGCTACTTAGCTTCCACAGTAAGCACTGAGACTACTCCAGTGAGCTTGCTGGTAAATGTCATTCATTAGTTTTCCTTCTTTTCTTCCTTTTGTGTTCTTCAGAAGCCCCATATCAGCCTCATTAATCCCCCAAACTTTCACAAGGGATGACTTAATCTAGGATTGTAGCAAGAAGAACAAACATTTGGGACTGGTAGACAGTGGCCAGATGGTTCCACTTTATTATAAGTAAATATTTTCCTTTGTTCTAAGATGGATTGATATTGTAGAATATGATTTGAATAATACACAGCATTTATAGTAATGGAAAAGTATATACCTGGCACATGGTGGGTTCCCAATAAATAAACATATATTGATTGGGGGTATATAATGGATAATGAAATATATATGAGGATGGACTCTGAGTTTCATTCCTCACCCCTTTAAATGACATTAGATTTACCATTGGGATGGTGGGAAAGTTTGGTATATGCCTTAATTGGGATTACTATTGGTGCGATGAAACATCATGGCCAAAGAAACTTGAGAAGGAAAGGGTTTATTTAGATTATACTTCAATACCATTGCTCACCATCAAATGAAGTCAGGACAGGAACTCTAACTGGGCAGGAACCTGGAAGCAGGAGCTGATGCAGAGGCTGTGGAAGAATGCATCTCACTGACTTGCTCTCCATGGCTTGATCAGCTTGCTTTCTTATATCCCAGGACCACCAGCCCAGGGATGGCACCACCCACAATGGGATGGGCACCCCCATCAATCATTAATTAAGAAAATACCCTAAATGCTAGCCTACAGCCCGATCTTTCTTTCTGAGGCATTTTCTTGGTTGAGACTTCCTCCTCTCAGATGACACTAATTTGTGTAAAGTTGACATAAAACTAGTCAGGACAGTATAGATATAACATGAAACAGATCAAAATCTACTTGTCAGTCAGATTGTCAGAAAAACAATGTCAGAATGCCTAATCTAGCTGTATAAAATTTTAATGAAAGATATAGACTTTGGGGCTCTTTAATTCCAGTATAAAATATTCCTACTTTTGAATTTTTATAATAAAGCGAGTTAAAAATTGTTTGATAAGGAGTTCTCCTTACAGTTCTCCTAGCTAGGGATTATAGGCTAGTAATAACTAAGATATAATCATTTTGTGTCTGGGTGGATTATAATACACTCTGAAGTCATCTTTCGAACCAAAATTTCTTTTTCACTTCAGATAACTATCGTGTACTTACAATTATAAGATATAATACAGAGAGATCCTATATGTCCTCTGCCCAGTTTTCTCCAATGGCAGTATCCCTCAAATCTACGGTAAAGCATTAGAACCCTAATATTTTCCATTTCTATCAATAAATCATTATCCCCTTTAGAGATTTTATTTACATTTCTAATTATCTGTCTAATTGTATGTGGGAAGGGGTGTGCATATGAATGCAGTATCCATAGAGGGCAGAAAAGGTTATTAGATTTAGACCTGGGGTTACAGATGTTTGTAAGCCACCAGACATGGATACTTGGAACCTAAATCAGATCCTCTACAAGAGCAATATATGTTGTTAGCCACTGGACACCCCCACCCCATTATCCTTTCTTTAAAAATTCACTAATATGTAAAATTTTATCAGTTGCCATGTAGTATTTCAATAATGCATATACTGCGTGATGTTAAAATCATGTTGCACATATATATATCTCCTCATTTATAATTTGTGTGTGGTGAAAACTTTCATTATTCTTTCTTCTAGATGGGTTCAATATGTACTTAATTATTGTTATATACAATCAGTAGCATGACAGATCTTCTTTCTGCTCTCTAAACAAGACTTAGTGCTCACCTTTGCCCCATCCCTTCTCCCTCACTACTTTTGCCTGGTACCACATTCTACATTTGAGCAACTGTTTAGATTCTTATATGAGTGAGACCATGCAAACCCCTTATCTTTTAAACATGAGAGTAAGGAAAGAGAAGTTTATGGGGAGCTTCTGCAGTGGAGGGGTTTTCTCTCAATAGAAAAAGAATTGGTTTAAATTCACCTCATAAGCTGAAAAAAAGTTTTCAGACCTTCAAGTTAGTAAGTCAGAAACAACCAAAATTATATTTCAAACAAGCCTTTTTTCTTTGTCGTTAATCCAGACAGCCTTTGTACACCTAGTTTTTAAGATAAGCTCTCAATTCACTTACAGTTCTAATGTCTTAAAGCCTTTTCTTCTATACTCAAATGTATGAGGTATATTGGCCCCTGAAGTTTTTTTTCTTTGATCAGAAATAAAACTCAAAAAAAAAGCCACTATACAGTCTAAGTGGGTTATATGTAGGAATAAATGTGTATACATATAGATTTTTGCATGCAGTGACAATTAATGAAAACATGCCATAAATTAGAAAAGGAGGAAGGAAGAGCATATGGGAGGGTTTGAGGGGAGGAAATGGGAGAAAAGCTACAATTATAATCTCAAAAGGTATAAAAAGTTAAAAACATGTACATAGCCGTCACCTCACAATCTCTTGCCCCACAATTCCTGTATGTCTGTGATTCCCTACCTCCACATAGTATATAAAACTCCTGAATCTCAGGCCTCACCTCAGGCAAGTTACATCAGAATCTCTGGGAGTGACAACCTGTTCTTGGCATTTTTAATACTGGGTAACCCTCATATGCAATCATGGTAGAGTTCTGTTTGTGTATGCTGTTGTAAAAACTATAGCTAAAAGGCCTTCTGCTTAGAATAGCTTTTGGCCAAAAGTTTGCTGACCATTCTTCCTCCTCGTTTGCTTGTTTTCTCCTTTCTTTTCCTAGTTCTGTTCTAAATACCACTCCATCCTCAAATATCAACCCTGTTATTCTGAATAAATTCACCCTCCTCTATGTTCTCAGCTTCTCTTCCTGCAAACCAAAGACTGACATGATATAGTAGTCACTTCTCTTTCTGCTGTAACAAATGGCTGACAAAAGCTACTTGATAAGAAAGACTACTTGACACACAGTTTCAGGAGATGTCAGGCCATCACGGCAGAGGAGGTGTGGTGGCAGGAGTGGATCAATTTGTAGTGGCAGGAGCAATCATTGCACCTCCTCACATGGTGTTGCTGGACCAAGATGGAGAGACCCAGACTGGAACAGGGGGAAAGTGTAAGTGTCAAAGGTCCTTGTCCAGGGCCCCAGTCAGATGGATTTCACATCTCAAAGGTTCCATAACCCGTAGCACCAGCCAAGGGCCAAATGTTCAAATAGACAAGACTGTGGAGCCATTTCAAGCTTGAATAAATGTGTGGGACCAAGCAGTCTACAAAAGGGCCTCAGCTGACAATCTCTGAAGCTTCTGCTTTAGTTCTTTGTTTCAAACCATTGCCCACACTATACCTCAGTGCTAAGACCAGTTTTGCATTATGTGCTCACCATAGTGAATTAGAGAACTTAATGTGCTTGCAACTATTCCAAGGTTACTGGCCTCCCCTTTAGTTGTATTGCTATTGAACACCTTTCTTTCAGCAGCAATGGGACACCCACCATGCGAACTTTCTTCTCGTTGTTATTTTGGCAAAATATTGTCAAACAACAGGAAGGAAAGAACACTCTGTAATGGCCTTCGTGGAATGCAACAGATTATAGCAGAAAGAGGCATATAAACCATTGTGGGAATGAGAAGTATTTGCCCTGAGAATCCCATCCATGTGCATGATAACAAATTGGAGCAAATTCTTGTTTGTGTGAATTGTTATGGCCGTGTGCCCGAGTGGACTCTTAGATATGGAGAATGACGTCTTATGTCAGGGGTCAAAAAGAATCCTTTTATTCCAATTTCTGTTCACTTTTTCCTTCTCCCAAAGCAATTTCTAAAGATTTTCTTATGACACATAGCAATGTAAATTCGTGTTGCCATAAGTTGAGTCCAGAATACCCTAAGTATCTCAGTTTGTCAGCTCTCTCCATCAGTGAGTTTAAGGATCTTCCTCTTTAACTGCCTGTGAAATCTTTTCATTGGCTTTGCCTTCTTTACCCATGGCAAGCTCCCCTAAAACGGTGCATATTAACTCTCTAACCCTTAAGGTTTCATCCTTATTCAAGCCATCCCTTTCTACCTGTGCTCAGCTCCAGGGAACAGGACGGAGAAGAAGCATTGAGCTTATCATTTCCTTAACTCTTGATGAAAGAATAGTTGTTGCTTTATTAGTACCACAAGAGAGTGGGAAAGTGCTTTTATTCACTTAACAGTTATGGATGAGTACATTCTAGTATTAGACATGGTTCTAGGCACTGCAGATACAGCAGTGAACAAAACAAAGTCCTTGATTCCACAGACCTTTCACTGTTGTGTATCAGTGAAGTGCTCTGCTGTGTCATCTTCTATCATTGTCTGTGCTTACACTCTCATTATACATTCTCAAGACCCTGTTTGACCCCCATCTTTTGCTCTTGTTCGGTTCACTGACACATAACAGGGTTTAGCGCTTTGGAACAAACTCTTGATTAAGTCACTTCTTGACTTTAAAAAAAAAATCCCTCAGAGGCTTCCATATTTCCACCTCTATCACCTCTATCCTTTACCAAATAAAGTACTTACCCGTTAGCTTGTCATTTAAAGTCCTCCATGATCTGGCTCCAATCCCCTGTTGGAATGTTATCCTTCAACTGTTCCCTTTTAAGGACTCTATGTTCTCTGCTACACCTTCTCAATTTGGAAACTTCTGTGGAATATTCCCCGAAAACTGCCTATTTAAAAAAAAAAAAAAAAAAGTCTACCCACTGTTCATGACCCAGGCCACAAACCCTCCCCGACAAGCATATCTCCTCATAATTTAAACATCACTTTGGACTTTTCCTGTGACCTGTTACCTTCTGCCTTTTGTTGCAGACTAGCTCTTAAACTGGGAAATAGGAGTCTCATAGCAGGAAGGTGCTTTATCCTTTGGGGCTGCTTTCTTCCTCACATGTTTCTCTGTGAATCTTGTCCAATCTTTAAGGAGAGAGGAAAACCTCAGCGAATTGCCAGTACTGCTTTCTCACAATCACATCCTTACCTTTGTTGATATAGGAAGATATAGTTAAGACCAGAGTTTGTCATTAAAAATCAAATTCATTGAATTACTGCTGACATATAGAACTCAATTCCTGACATCTCCTTGTTGATATTTGTTTTGGACTCATTTTTTCCCTGTCATTTATAGAGACATTCTTACCTCCGTTCACCCTATGATCCTCCACCAAGCAGACAAGCTGGAGGTCCTCCTCGATTTCCTGGGGGGAGAAGTCACCGGGGAGCTCTTATGGATTCCCAGCAAGCATCAGGAACAATTGTGCAGATTGTCATCAATAACAAGCACAAACACGGACAAGGTAAAGGGTATCCTCAGCATGCCTGATCTTTAGAGACCAAACCTGGGGCAGGACTCTTTATCCCATAAATAGTGTATGTTCACATGTGCATCCCTAAATGTGGTCTTCAAAGTGGGTATGAACAAGTGAGAGGACTTGTAGGACTTTCCACAAAGGCATCCAGAATGTATACACAAGTACCTTTGTGCTTATGAAGCAACTTCTAGCACTTTTTCTGTTGCCTGTGGGAAGGGGAGGTCACTTGGGGAAATCCACTGATATTTAATAAGCAGGGCACCCAACATTCAAAGGTACTTGATGCCAAACACTTCTAAAGCTCTTCTCAATAGTTCAGTTTTAAATGGCCTTTCTCCTGGGATACTTGTTAAATATTCCTGGCTCAAATCTTAAGAGATTTTGATTCAGCATTTAGAAAATGAGGAGATCATCCTTCCATTTGAGTGAGCCAGTGAGAAATCCAGAAACCACCTGGCTGAAAACCAGGACCACTGAGCAGGTTAACATTGTAGTTCACTCAGCCATGAGTCTGATTGCATGAGCATTCATATATGTTCATTGGTACAGATTTCTCTCCTCTGGCCTCTGCTGCCCCAACTCCAGTAGCAGAGGTGAGAAGAGGAGAAAAGCATAATATTGGCTGGTGCTTAGTTTGTTGGGTATACTGTCAATCAGTTCTCTGGAATAAAGACTCAACTGGTTCCTTTTTACATTACCATAAGCATGTTTTGTTTCCTTTAGAAAGAAAATAAATCAAAAGGCAATACTTTGAGTAGGATAAAAGCAAATTATTAAACCAAATGAAGAATAACATGGGTGAAAAACAATCCATTATGAAGAACTCCTAGGACAAATCTCAACAGAGCTGGTCAAGCCAAAGCTAGTTCATCACATCTGTTACTAGTTACATGTAAAATTCAGATTATACATAAAAACATCAATTTTAAAAATTCTAAATGCACTTTAATAAAAAATGTGGTTATTAAAATAGTTAGAAATACTTATTATTGATCTGTGTTTGATTTGAAATTTATGACTTTTAAGTTCCAACGCTTTCTGATAAAATTCATGGAAGGAAGAAGAGTTAGGTAAAGATACAGTTGGATTTTTCAATGCTAAATTGCCCCCAATAGATTCCATTTGCTTTGGAAGCATTACAAAGCCTTAAAAAATGATTGAGGACAAAAATAAGTTTTTGAAAGTCCCAAATACCATAATTTCCCTAAGAACTCTTGATTTTTCACAGTAGAGGCTCATCCCCTCACTGCCTCAGTGCCCTACAAAAGCCCTGGCTGCTTCGTATTTCCTCATCTGCCATGTTTATCTGGATACATCCTTTCTCTCTTGACCTTTCTGTTAGAGTTCACTGAAGACTCTCTTGTCTTCACCTTAACGCCCAAACCCCAGCTGGATGATTCAAAATCATCTTTTGGAATTTAGCTGATGGGAGGAGGCTCTCTTCCCTTCTAAGGGCTACATTTTATTCCCCTGCAGAGTGTGGGATTCTGCCTAGTCTGGACTGTTCCCACAGTTCAAATGTTTAGAAGGAAGATGAAGCTTAGCTTAGATAGTGCTGCCTGCCTTATTTTCCCCGAGTATTGATCACCTTTCTGATCTCTGTAGTGACAAGGTCCCCTGTGTCATATACATTCGGGTCTTTGTTAAAAAAAAAAATCACAGAAGAAAAGCAACAAGAGTCCTCCATTTTAAACTTGAATTCTGCCAAAATGTTCTTGAAGCCAATTCTGTAGCCACTTGTCCAAAAGGGTCTAGAAGACAGTGTTAGTGTCGTGAAGACAGAGAAAGGAAGGAGTAAGCAAGAGAAAAACACATCCTGCCTAATTTCCATTTCTGTTCAGAGCCCTGAGCCTCACACTTTAGGTATCTGTTGATACTCTCCGTGCACTGGGATCTTCTCCAGGTTAGGTTCTTGGAAATCTTCACACAGACTGACCTGTTAGAGGGCCCTGTACTCAAGCAGTTCTTGCAAAAGGCAATAAAAGACAGCCAACATCTTTCATATTCGTTAATGTGACCCAGTGGACTTGATGAGAAAGAAATAGCCTAATGATTCATCCTGAGTCTGTATTGCAGCCAAATCAGTCAATTCCTAGAAACGCCCCAAGTGGGAATATGCCTTCCCCCCCCCCCAGCCTTGCCCAAAGAGATACACCCTACCCTAGAGATAATGTTGATTGAGATGCCGACAGGTCTCCTTGGGTATGATGAGGTGATGGAATAATGAAAGTCACACCCACGCCCATTTATGGCTTGAAATATCCGCAGTCTGAGCCTTTCAGAAATGAAGAATATTCATTCTCAGACTTCTCCATTTATAGCACTACTTGTCCATTTATTTCCCTGGAACCCAGGTCCATGCTGTATAGTAGTAGCCTAACAGGTTTAAGGTTGACATATCTGAAGGATGTTCTGTGTCCCTTTTCCTTCATAGGTTCCCTCTGCCTTTAATGCCAATATATGCTCTTTCAAGATACCTCAAAAAAACATAGAGTCAATGACCATTCTTCTCCTTCAACAACTGTCTGAGGGACAAAAGATACCTATCTGTAAGGCAAGCATGCAAGCATTGGTTTGATTTGCTGTAGCAGCTACCAATGGGAAACTGAAAAAAAAAATGCCTCACCCCCTCACTAGTTACCCAAGAAATATATGTCCTTTTCCTCTCTCTTGTCATAGCATCCCTCTTCCTATACCAAAATACAGTCTGTCGACACTAACTCCTATGCCCATCTATCTTTATTGATAGACCAGACTCTCATAACATTTGATATTTTGAATGGATTTGATTCAGGATATAGATGAAACTGGCTCTTTGAAAGGAGAACTAGTTTTTGCATCTAGCTCTCCTGGTTAACAAATCTCTTTTGGAAATTGTTACACCCCCCAAACATAACCACTTGGACCACAAATATTTTCTGTACCACTCAAAATATTAAAAATACTACAGTCTACTAGAGATACCTTATCAGACATTCAGGACAAATAGAACTCCACTTTCAATGAATTCATTCATTGCCTTGTTGAAAAACTATTTGCAGATTGCCCATTATTTCTCAGACTGTTTGTGAGACTCCGGCTGCTGCTGCAGAGGCATATGGATAATGGTTGAAGGTAGCTTATCACTCCAACAGTGCTATGGCCAAAAACTACCTCTGTAAACGCATGCTTTTGCCTACTAATTCATCTTCCCTCTCTACCCCTGTGTTCTCCTTCAGTGTGTGTTTCCAATGGAAAGACCTATTCTCATGGAGAGTCCTGGCACCCAAATCTACGGGCATTTGGCATTGTGGAATGTGTGCTATGCACTTGCAATGTCACCAAGCAAGAATGTAAGAAAATCCACTGCCCCAATCGATACCCCTGCAAGTATCCTCAAAAAATTGATGGAAAGTGCTGCAAGGTGTGTCCAGGTAAAAAGGCAAAAGGTGCGTTGGCTGGAGGCCCTGCCTTTGGTTGAATGAGATTCACACAGAATCCTATTTGATTTTCTTTGTGCATCAGAAACATAAAAGATCTGTCATATAATTCTAATGATAATAGTTCTAGCAAGAATGAACTTCATTCTTTCATCTTCTGAAAGTGATGGTTGCTTTGAAGGAATTAAATAATCAGAAATATTCTGGAGAGTTTCTTGTGTCTACAACTTCCCACACATGCCAAATTGCTTAGCTTGTTGTTGCTTTTCTAAACTGGAGAGTTTATGTTATCACTATTCAGAAAAAGAGCCACACCTTACACTTTTTAAAACACTAACTCACTTCTAGCCATAACCCAGTACTCTTTTCAGATGAAAGATGCATGAGTTACAGTTGATGAAGATTAGGTTCTGGTCCAAATGTAAGGTCATTATATGAAAATATACTAGATCCATATATATATATGGGCCTCATTAGCCCCGTGTGAAAAAGTAAAGCTTTATCAGTATGCTCCATTTTTTATATTTTTATTTGCATTTTATGTTTTAATTTTTGAGACATAGTATCTGTATATAACTATGAGGTACAGTATGATAATTCAAGACATATACACAATGTATGATTATGAAATCAGGGTAATTATCATTCCATCTCCTATGGTGTTTATCCCTAGACTCTTCTAGCTATTTTAAAATTTATCATAAAATGGTTTTGCTATGGTAACTGTACTGTGCTACAGAAAAATAGAAATAATTCATTCTAATGGTGTTTTAGTGTCTATTATCAAGCCTCTATTTCTCCTTCACCACCTTCCACTACTAAAATCCTATAATTATATTATTTCTCTTTTAAAGACAAGAACAGTGAAATGTATAAACTGGCTTTCCCAAAGTCATGAAACTAATGGCTAATACAGTCAAGGCCTTAAACCCAGGTCACTTCCAGCCCACTGTCTTTTCTACTTGAAAATATTGCTAATTTTTTAAAGACATTTTTCAAATGGTGGTTTTCAATACATGAGCTAGATTTAAAACAAACTATGCCATCTACAGTGTTGGCATTGTACCTTAGGTCTGCTACAGCTATTCTGTTTGGCCTAGAACAAGCCCCTTCAACTTTCTGAGCCTCCATATGTTTTTCTTCAAAATGATGTGGTTGAAGCAAGTGATTTTCCATAGCCACCCTCCTCACCATCTCAGAATCCCACCATCAATTAGCCATTCCCAGGTACATTAATTCATCACTTCTTAGGCCTTCTGTAAAGAATTTATGTAAACACAAGTGACAAACTCTTTTTTAAAATGGACATGGATACATCATTTATCCCTTCCATTAAACAGTCTCTCCTGCCTTGCAGGCAAACATGCATTAAGTGTAAGTACATGAGAATCTTTCCTTACACTGTCTATGATCCATGAAATTGTCTGCATATTAGAATCCCAGGGAGCTTCTCAAAGTACCTGTTGCCCATCTCCAGAGATTATGATTTAATTGACTTGAACTGTGGCCTGGGCTTGAGACTCTTCTAAGTGCCTCAGACTCCTTGGATATGCAGAAAGGGCTGAGAACTTTTGGTGCCTGCTTACAGTGGTTCATGGCTTTTTAATGTGATTGGTGCTCCAGAAGCACCTGGGAGCTAATTATAAATGCTGATTCTCTGGCCTCCACCTGCCATGCATCCAAATCTGTAATTAAGATTCTCAAGTGAGTCTGCTTGAGAAGTAATAATTTAAGGTAAATATAATGCCTTTCATCTTCCATGGTGAAAGGCACAGGATGTGGATACAAAGAGCTGGCCAATAGTAGAAATCAGGATACTGAAATTCAAGAAGAAGTGTGCTTATTAGGAGTAGGCAGCAAGCATACACTAGAAATGATGTGGATATCAGGGACACCCAAACATGGTGACTTATATTCCCTTCTAAGGCTGGGGTCTCATTTGAGCCACAAATCTTAATGTCAGTTACAATCCCCCAACACATTTTTCCCTTTGATCAAAGTTCTAACATTTAAACTTAAAGAGTAATAGAGGATAAACTTAGGCAAAAATTAATAGTTACCTAAATACTGAAGATTGGGTTTTCTAGTTTGATTCTTTGATTTTCAGACAGACTCTCGTTTCACACTGTGCTTAGGATTTTATTCATATGAGTGATTCCAAATAAAAGAGGAAAATGGGACACAGAGTGTGCATTGCTTTAAAACGAATTTCCTTCTCAGGTTGGTGGTGGCTTGAATGCATCCAGATAAGCAACTCCACCTTTGGGCTTACCCTGAGAAAGTAAATGGAGATACATAAAGATAGAGAAGCTAGGCTCTTCCGGTGCAGTGTTATTTGTAATAGTGAAACATTGACAATAATCAGAAAACTCAATCATAAGGGAATGGCTAAATTATGGTGTAACTACACTATGAAATATTATGTAACCATTAAAAGCATCATAAACCAAGACTGCTGGCATGGAAATATTAAGTTAAAAGAGCAAGCTACAAAAATATGTGCATTATACTTAATTTTTGTATTAAAAAGTTTGTGTGGAAGGGACTATGACAGAATGTTTACAGAGAACATCTTTGAATAACTGACTTACCAAGTATTCCTATTTTCTTCTTTCACTTGTATTTTCTAAATTTTCAATAGTAAACATGTATTACTTTTATCATTTGAAAACATAATAAAAGTTGTTGTTTTAAAACCCACCAGCCAGAATCCCAATTGTCAATAAATTGAAGAATCTGACTGACTGAGCCAATTTCCCTGGATGAGCTACTTTTATTGTTTTCCCATGGTGATCAGATGTGTTGAGATAGTATATCCATTTGTCTTCATACAAAGAGACAGTTTCAATCACATTCTATGTATTTTTTTCTCTCTGAGTCAGAACTGGGTGTATGCATTCTAAATCACTCTTAAGGATCATAGTGCCCAAGAGTCAATGTCTGCATGGCCCAGGGTGCGTGCTCCATATATTCAGCACATGTAAAGCATTAAGTAAGTTCTGAAATCTACCTAAAAATGAATGTTAAGTACCTACTTCATGCAAACACAGACACTGAAGAATGAGAGATGAACATGACAGGCAAAGGCTACTACCTGGTCCTTGCATTGTAGTGAAGATGAAGCACAGTGAAACCAAATCAAGAATGTAATTTTAGCGTGTGATGTGGACTGTGAAGGGAAAAAGTGCAAAATCAGGAAATGGCAAATAATGCATGAAACACTTTCAAAACAGTCATCAGTGAAATGTGATATTTGAATAGACTCCTGGGTGACATGAAAGGGTCCACAAACAGGAACATCAGACCATCAACGACCTCTTAAAATAATGGCACATGACCTAGAGGAAAATGGACAAAGCAGCAAAAGCAAAAATGAAGAGTAATATTAGTTATTTTGGTAGGGAAGAAATAAATAAGTTCACTGGTGACCAAGCCAAAAGTTTCATCAAAACAAACAAGAGCAGGCTCCATCATTATCAAACACAGGCCACCATAAAGGATGTAAATTCCACTTCTCTCTTGTTATTGCTCTGCTAGAAGCCAGCATTACATTACATGTCAGTGTCTACCAATGAACTAAGACACACACCTACAGATTCCCCAACTAACCTCTCATACCTTTGGTATTGCCCTAATACCTAGAAATCCTCACACACTTCTTTTTGATTTCGTCATTAAATGCCACTAGTATGGTTTAAAAAGTTTTCTGAGATGAGCCAGCTCATCTTTATCTGTCATCATCACCTCGAAAAGTAACAGTGTCTAAGTTTCTTGGTTCTAGAGGACACAGGATAATTTTCTCATGGGGAATGGACATGGCCCAAAATGAGTTCAATTATGGCGTGGTTCACTGAGAGGAAATGAGAGTAGATGGGCACGGAGGTGATGTACCTTGAGATGGAAAGTGCAAATTTTTGCTGAATACATCCATTTAAGAACAAAATTTGTTTTGTGTCTTCCAGTTTCAACTAGGGCTGAGTCACTAATGGGGTTTTGTTATTTGTGGGTTTCTTCAGTTGTGTAGATTCAGATCTTAAGAGGGTTTGGTGCTTCTGAATATCTCATTAGGATATTGAGAAAATTTTGAGCACATGACAGGTACTTCTAGTGCCATCACGGGGTGAGTTTCATGTCCATTACATTCATAGCCAGTATTAAGCTGCTGAGCAAAGTTTAACAAAGTCAGCTCTCCTTGCAAAGGTGACAATTGAATTCATAGAAGTCCCTGTACACTCCATGACCTCCTTGTTCGGATTTGAAAACTGTAAGCACACAACCTTAATTGCCTAACATCACCAAAAAGAAAAAAAAATACTGGCCTGCCAAGTAATAAAATGTTTAAAATAAAAGGCAAAGGGAGAAAGAAAACTTGATTCTAGGATAATCCACAAAATGAGTGATCCAACTTGGAACTGTCAAGAGATGATGGTGGTTTTGTCCTCACCGTGCCAAATGGTGGGAGGCAGTGGTAGAGAGGAAACTTAATCAGGTCCAAAAGAGACATACAATAGCAAATTGATTACAATGTCCAGCCCGATGTGCCTGATTGGACAACAGTGAGTCTCTTGTCAGTATGAGCCACAGATTACTCAAACATTCAACCTTCTGTGGATTTATCCCTGATGGCTCAGATATTCTTACAGACAGCTTCTCCATACTCTTAAAGTTTTCAGGGTGTATAAGGATTCTCTCCAGTATTTCTTATTTGAGTTATATACTTTGAATATACACCGGAAGGGGGTGCTGATTATAAAGCCATCAAAGGAAAATTTTACCAATAATCTGGGAATTTATCACCAACAATAAGGAGAATTTCTTTTCTTTTTGTATGGAGCCTTGGCAAAGGGAGTATGGTATGAAATGCTATGTAATTATGGGGCTGGTACCTTTAGGTTTCTGGGAGCTGAAGTCCAATGGCTAGCCATACATGAATCCACATGAAGTGGATCTAACCAGTGTGTGTGTGTGTGTGTGTGTGTGTGTGTGTGTGTGTGTGTGTTGTTCATTTGGCATAGCATACACATGACTAATCTAACATCTAGATTTTGGCACTGGTGCTGATCCGGTATTATCATTCCTCTTCCAAACAAATCAAAGAGCATTCAGAAATGTCAAGCCAATTTGGATGGATCCGTTGGGCAAGTATATGCACATAAATGAATGTCACGAGTATTTTCTAAGTATACTGAAATGATGTCAGAAAAGCTATCCAAAGCCCTCTGTCAATCCACCTCCTAGGCCTCTCAGCAACACTGAGCTGAACAGAACACAATTCTACCCTAGTATGGAAAATTCAGTGTTCCCTTAAGTACCTAAGTGATTTATACCTGGCTATAGTATTCTTCTTCATCAAAGTCCATTTTTCAGTGACTGTTGTAGGGAGATTCAGTTCAGTTTGTGGGTGTGCCCTAAAGAGCCACTAATTCTGTCATCACCTGGGCTCATGAGAGCTTAGATGTGTCTTGGTGATTTGGTGGCTGCTAGAGGGGCAGCCTGAGATGAATTAGTAAGGTAAATCTGGGAATGTTGTCTCTGTAAAACTTGGTCCTGTTGATTGTCTACTTCTGCTATGTCAACTGTTCTAAACAATGAGATGGCTAAATTCAGAAGTTCACTTCTAGTTTTCAAACACCATGCCAAAATTCTACTACTTGCTTCCTGGTTCCAGAAGAACCTCCAAGCCAAAACTTTGACAGCAAAGGTTACTTTTGTGGAGAAGAAACCATGCCTGTTTATGAGTCCGTGTTCATGGAGGATGGAGAGACTACCAGAAAAATAGCACTGGAGACTGAGAGACCACCTCAAGTAGAGGTTCACGTTTGGACCATTCGAAAGGGTGAGCAAAACACCATTAAGTTTGTGTTTGTAAGTGGGGTGAAGGGACAACTCAACTTGATTTTACTTTAGCATGGTAGTTGTATTTGGGTCAGACGTTATCCCTTTGCTTAGAAACTGATGGTGTCTGGCCCGAGTGTTGTGTTTGCAAATTTAACACAGTACACTCTACAGATTAAGTATTAACTCTTGAGATCCCCAAGGTTGTCATTTCTTTTGTTTTGGTTTGATTTTTATATCTAATAACTAAGCCCTACCACCACAGTCTAATTTGTTCATCTGAGCCAGGCATGTGAATCAGTGTTTCCATAAAGCCTCAAAGTGCTTCTAATCTATGGCCTATGTTGTAAACTAAGAAACTGCAGTCTCCCTTTCCAAGCTCAGAAAAGAGAAAAACCTATCCCTTTACTGTGAAGCTTTGTCTCTGGAATTATACCGTACACTCTGGATTAAGATCAATTTATAACATCCTTCCTAGTTTTAAGAAGATTACGGTCTTGAGCCAAGGGGATGGCTCACTAGGTAAATGAGTTTGTTGGCAAGCCTGGTGGCTTCAGTTCAATCCCTGGGACCCATATGGTGAAAGGGGGAATTGAATCCCACAATCCCAAGTTAATTGTCCTCAGGCCCTCAAATGTGTGCTCTGGTACACAAGTACCCCTCCCCCACCATACTTCTGTTAAGAAGACACACATACAATGTAAAGAAGACGGTAGTCTCACTCAAAATAATCCCTGTCATGATATCCAGTTGCTTTTTTGATTTCCCACAGCAGCCCCCAGAACCAGCAATGTTCTATTCAATACTCGTGGGATCCTTCATCTACTCATAGCAAATTGTTTAGACAAGACTAGGGATGATCTAGTCTGGTCAGGTTTTCCAGGAATCCAAGAGTAGGGATAAGATTTCATTTGAACAGTAATATCTATCTTTTTGAACCTACTTCCTGTCCAAGATTTAAGGGTACTTACATATGCAGGTATGGTGGCATCTATCTTCAGTCTCAGCACTTAGGAGGCAGAAGCAGGTGAATCTCTGTGAGTTCAAGGACAGGGCTACACAATAAGACCCTGTCTCAAAAGAGCAACAATGATAACCAGTGTTCAAACATATATTGATTCAGCATCATGTACAGAAGTGTACTAAAGGGTTGCTAGCTAGTCCTACACAGAGATGAGAATTCAATATGCCTTGGATATGTTATAAACATTGCATGATTAAGGCAGAATCTTCTGATGCTAATGCAAGTGGCACTTGGATCACACTTTCAGGAATACTGCTATAGTTGCTTACTGCATCTTTTCTCTCTCTGTTTCTCCAACAACCTCAATTTTTCTAAAGAATGCCCGCTCCCCAATTAGGAAGCATGCGATGGTGCACATGTGCTTTTCAGCCGTGCTTGTTTCAGCTTTTAATTTAGGCATGTCAATTTCCCATCTTTAATTACGTAGTGCATATGTTTACCAGTCACCTGTGACTCAGAACTGGTCAGTTAGTTTCTCAAGAAATGAACTCAGCCATGTATTTTTCACGTCACTAAAATACATGGATGGCTTACAATTTGCTAGTAGAACATTTCAATAGCCTTCTATTCATACTAAAGTTTTATTGAGGTTTATGCTTCCTGGACACAGCAAAACCTTTTTTCCATGTTGACCTCTGGGTTTAAGGGAGCTGGTAACATGTTGTTTCTGATCTCCATGGCAATTTTCAGTTATTTACCTGCCTCTGATAAAAACTATTTAGTCAGGGAGGAAACTGTGGGCCAATCCATAAGGACCCCACCTCCGTTATTTTGGTTTTGTTTTGTTTTGTGAGAAGCTTGCAAGAATTGTGACTATTTCCCAAAGGAAAATTTGTACATCTTGGTGAATTCAGGAATAGGGGTAGCTTCTCTACACAAATAATATGCCTGCAATCCTACTACTGGTTTTTATTGTTTAGCCAGGAGGGCAGCCTAGTGGTTTGGCTGGAACTAGTCCATCCAAATTATGGCCAAAGGCATAATTTTTAATACTGCCTCTGGCTACAGAAGCTCCAACCAGTACTCATACTTTTCTCAGGAGGGGATCCCATGGTAAGAAGTATTACTTCCCTTATCTCCAGTCCCTGAAGAAGCTAAAGGGAGGTTAGTAAGCCAAGGAAACAAATGGAGTCAATTAAAGTCTTTGAGCCCTCCAAGTTCCTGGTTAAGTACATTACACAGCCCAGTTCAATACCGCTAAGCCCCGGTAATGAGATTATATGCTCAGCCTAGGCAGAAAAGGTGTCTGTGCTTCCAGAAAGAGATAGAAAATGTTTCATCACCTGTTCCACTTTGCACCTGGCCCTAGGCATTCTCCAGCACTTCCACATTGAGAAGATCTCCAAGAGGATGTTTGGGGAGCTCCATCATTTCAAGCTGGTGACTCGGACCACCTTGAGTAAGTGGGACCTCTGTTTACTCTTCGCTGGAAATCACCTTTAGCTTTTAGCGTTGCCACATTTGAAGTCCCTCTGTGTTTTCAATGAACACAAGAAATGCTCAGCTTCACCATTAGGGGATGTTCTAATTATCTTTTGGAGTATTAAGCAGCAAACAGGGTGTCTGAGTACAAACTGGGAAACCTTGGGCATGGCGGATACAAACTGTAATGTAGTTCACATGCAAGCTATTTCAGGTCAAGGTTTCTAAAATGTCCTTGATGAAACTGATAATCCAAGGCACAAGAGGGTTGAAGGAAGCTTTGCAAGATTTCAGGTGTAGTGTAATTGTGGGGTCTTCATATCTGTATGGTTATGTTCTTTGGGAATAAAGAAGAGGACATAAATATGGAGTGCCTATCAATTCTGTGTGATAACAGCTCTCTGACTCCTATAAAACTACCACTAGGTGACCGGGCAGTGGTGGTGCATGCCTATAATCCCAGCTCTTTGGAGACAAAGGCAAGAGGATCTCTGTGAGTTTGAGACCAGCCTAGTCTACAGAGAGAGAGTTCCAGGACAGGTTCTAAAGCTACACAGAGAAATCCTGTCTTAAAAAAACAAAAAACAAACAAGAAAAAAATAGCAAGAACTATCACTAGGTGCTCATGTTTCTTTAAAAGCATCTAGGCATCCATGCACCCTTGCAGCTCTCCCATTTTCTACACTAGATGGAGCTTAGGGACTAGATACAGCAGGACACTGGGGTGGGGATGGGTGGGGAGCACTTGTAATGGAATAAAAGGCACCAGATTTCTATCCACAGGGAATTTCTAATGGGCGAGACAGAACATGAATGGGCCTTCAGTGTGAGTGAGAAGATCTGTGAGGAGTTAAATACCTAAGTGATCAGGGGAATCTGCAAAGAACAATAAGTTAAAAGCCAGGTGGGCTTAGTCGAGGAAGGCTTCGGGGAGGAGGTGCTTTTTAAAAGAAAAAGGTGTGCCTGGGCAACAGGTCAAGAAATCAGTCCAGGGTGAGCATGCAGCCTAAGAGAAGATTCAGGCAGGAGCAGACAAGAAATGTGGGTTGGGGTAAGGAATGCTCACCAAGGCCACATAGGGTGCAATGCAGATGAGAAAAGAGGGTAGGAAGTAGTAGCCTAGAAGAAGCCCATGAAAAGTGCACATGCAAAGCGACTAACATTGGGAGTCACTGCACAAGTCAGGCAACACGGTGATATTAACGTGGTGCTCTGAGCTTTTTAACAGAGTCACCTTGGTGAACTCAAACTATGAAAAGCCCCATTTGCTATGCTAGAATGTGAGATTTGATCTTCAGCCATAAGCACAGCAGTGGAGGTCAGTAGGTAGGAAAATGGTGTATTCACATCTGGCTCTTAGAAAGAGGGTCTTGCTGTAAGGAGTGGGGTGTACCATTAATGGCAGAGCTGGTTAGAATCTGAATTAGGAAGTTCTCACATAATACTGTCTGAGACAAGGGAATGAGAGACATTTCTAAGGCTAAGTCAACAAGTAGATTGTGTGTGTGTGTCAGGGAATTAATATAGAGTGATCCAGTATTAATAACTTTGAAGATTGGGTGGATAGCAATGTCATTTGCCAATTAAAAGCTGAAGAATTCGCAGGTGTTGGTGAAATAGGGTGTCTGCTTGGAAAGTACTTTGATCAGGATGCCTGAGAATCAGCTAGAAACAATGTTGGTAAGGTATTTTGTGTGTCTTTTGAAAGACTGATAGGAAGTAAAGTGAATAGTGTGAGAATCTGAATGCAAGGGTTGGGGAATCCCTACAAGAGTGTCAAGAATAAAGGAGTCAGAGCCTAGGGTCTAGGGGTTAATTACTAGTTCACCTTAAAATACATTTTGAGTTTATGTTTCAAGCAAGATGGTACACCAGGCCCCAGAGGCCTTCGAAGCTGATTTAATCATACTCTATGCCCATAGTAGTTAATATTGGGGACTTAGGTATTTGTGTGCTCCAAACATTGTATAGCTGAAAGAAACGGGTAGTGACATGATCCAATGGAGTAACCTGGGGACAATGTAATAAGCCCATCTTCTTTATGTAATGTGGTTCAATAGCATGGTGCATCATAAGGCTTTGGTAAATGTTATGTCCCCTTTTTCTATGTTCATGCGGAGGCATAGAGAATAGAGGAAAATGAGGAATTTAAGGCAGAAAGATGCAGGGAGATCAGGTCCAAGGGGAGGGCACTGTGTTCTCACATGAGTAGGGAAACCAAAGAAGTTCAAAGCAGGGTTAGGGTGAAAAGGAGTTTCCTGGCCTTGGGCTCAGTGCTCCCCAGATTTCAACACCATGAACGTAGGAATAAAAGGAAATGTGAGGGGCTGTTGAGAGTCGATAAACAATGTAAGTAAAACATCCTAGTTAAGAGAGTGGAAAGGGTATGGGAATAGAGCATGACAAGCAGCCATAGGATGGCATTTCAGAGTAACAATGATACATAGGGAGAGCATGTGAATATAGAAGAAAAATATGAGCAGTTGTTGACAAAGGAAATGAGGAATAGAGAAAATAATGCTAAACAATCAAGTAACCCAAACCAATACATGGGACCCTAAGAGAGCAAGCTGTAGTCCAGTGATGCAGTAGGTATTGCTATTGACAGACAAACTGTGCAATATTTTTGTAAATGCTGAATACACTACAAAAATTCTAAACACTGGATCTGGAGTCATTTCAGTGATTGAGAGTGTGTACTACTCTTCCAGAAGATTCGAGTTCAGTTCCCAGTACCTGTATTAAGGTAACTCACAACTTCCTATAACCAACTCCAGGAGTGTCTGAAACTACTGACCACTGTAGGAGTCTGCACTCATGTGTATATATCCCCCCAAACACATTAAAATCAAATAAATTCTTTAATAACAGTTTTCTAAACCTAGGGCTTAGGATTTACTCAAGAGAGAACAGATGCATCTCATTTGGGGGAGCTTCCAAATACTTGTATTGAAGTAAAAACTCCACGTCTTGTTTTCTGTCTCTACCCTCAGAAAAGTGTTTGTGTGTTTGAGGGGGTGCTTTTTGCTGAAACCACCTGCCATTCATGTTTCAAATACCCTGAGGGGTCTACAAGGAGGTGGGAATGAATAAAGCATATTGGTTGTATTTCTAATTAGTTCAGCTCTAATCTTACACACTCCTGACAATTTTGTGTTTCCCTTTTAGACCAGTGGAAGATCTTTACTGAAGGAGAAGCTCGGCTCAGCCAGATGTGTTCAAGTCGGGTGTGCAGAACAGAACTGGAAGATTTGGTCCAGGTTTTGTACCTGGAGAGACCTGAAAAGGGCCACTGTTGAACAAAACAGCCAGGACTGCAGTGTCAATCAAGGAAACCCAAGCTGCAGCTGGACTGCCGGCTTACTTTGCTTAAGTCAACATTGCTCTAAAACCCCAAAGTCAGACACAGTCAAGTTATCCATGCCAGCCACAGCATACCTTGTTCCTCTATGTGCAGTGGTGTGCCAGCCCTCAAACTTCTCCTCTAAAGAGAATCGAGGTGTCTGTAAATGGTTTTCTGATGGAAAAGAGATAGAACATCCTGGTGCAGCTTTAGTTTCTCTGAAAATCACTAAAGTTACAAGAAAGATAGAGAAGGAAATTGATTCTTTTAAGTTGGGTCACATAAAGCAATCATTTGTTTGAAATGCTTTTTGAATGCTCAAGTGTCTTCCATTCTCTATAAAAAAAAAACAAAATAAAAATAACAACAACAAAAATCCCTTATTCGGTGGGTGGAGATACAGATCAGTCAGTTGCAGAGCACATGCTTAGAGAATATGCAGCCTTGGGTTCTACTCTTATTACTGAAAAGAAATTTCTACCCTCATATTTCATATACACATGTCCAAACAGACACACATACTGCACATGAAACTGCCCCTGTTTCTGACTCCTCAATACTGATGGGGTTGTTGTATGCAGAAGACTCTGCCTTGAAGCCTGTAAAGCAGTTTTGAAAGTCATCAACCATGGTGGTAGGGTGAAGAACGCCAAGAACTCCAGTTAAGGGTCTTCCTCACTGTGAAGTGCTCAATTCATTTTGGCTACTACTACCACTTCTCTTTCTTTGCCTGAACCTATGGAGCCTCCATTAGAAAGGTAGAATTTGGTGAAATGTCAGAAACTCAATTCATACCAACCTACTCATAACTGTAGAAGAACACACCTGATAAAAATAAAATAGCCCATCTTTTTTGTTGTTGTTTTTACAGCTATAAAACTCTCTACTATATAAGCTGATGCTCACTAATTTTCTTGAGGCACTAGTCACCTAGACAGATGCTTTGGTTTGAATTATTTTAAAAGCCTGTTTAAGGGCAATCTTACTTCTCTGATTACAGGAGTGTAAATTTGACTTTCTAAAGAGACCCAGTCCTTTCAAGCTTCTGAACATTGGTTCTTCTGTCAAGACGGGGTTACTGTTCATTCAGGGGGCTGAGAATCCTGCCACAGTTCTTCCTCCTAAACCTTCCTTCTAGCTTTGCCTTTATCTATGAGCATAGGCTGCATCTGGGGTTTTGAACAAGGCTGCTCCTGAGATGTTTATTTGCAGCCCAATGCCACAGCATAAATTATCCTTTCTGAGGCTTGGCTTTAGAAACCATCCTTGTGGAAAGACTATAAATACTTCCTAGCAAGGAGCATAGGCCTGCTTTCTGGATATGAGGAGCATGCTCTGAGGAGCATGAATGAGCTCAAATGAGTACTAAGAAATATGAGGATCTAGAAACCCCATAGTTCCCACACTAGGCAAGAGAACAGGACAGAAAAAAAAAATGGGTAAAAGGTCTTGTCTTTTGGGGAACCTGGAAGATAAGAAGTCTCCACAAAAAAGACACCAAACTTTGGGGCAGGGCTTCATGAAAAGAATTTCTTGCCATCCAGTCACACACATTCTCCTCAGAAGAGGGACACATGACATTCTGGTCTGCAAAACCACAGAACACTATTGACCATATGATAGGGGCAGTGTCAATCCACTGCTGCCTCCCTCTAGGGGAAACAGTATTTCCAGAATGTGGAGATCAGTAACCAGATCCTGAAGGAAAGTGGGGATTCCCCCACTGGATGATTCACCTGAAAGCCTTCCCACCCAGGTGTTCTCTGAAAGCTTAGCCTCAAGGGAACACCTCAAGAGCTCCCCTAGATAGACTCCTGCCTCCAGGTGCACTGACACACCTTTGTAATGTGCTGTGGGAAGCAGGAACTGGGGAGCTGTGCTGAGTCAATGTAGAAATCCTCCAGCATTTTGGAATTGGGTAGAATGTAGGGTATAGGGAAAAGAGGTCAAACTGCCTGTAGCTAGTAGAGAAGAGTGGATATGGTTCTTTTTGTGTATTTATTTGTTTCATAAACACTTGGGACAGCAAAGGCTATAAGCACCACGTTGCAGTTTTATCCATTTTCTAGTTAGCTCATGTAAACAAGTATGAGTAACATAACAGTATTACCCTTTCACTTTTCTCACAGGACATGTACCCAAATATGGTACTTGTTTATGTAGTCACTGTGTTTCTGGATTTTTAAATTAATAAAATTTTAATTTAAAAAGGTTATGTTCAGGAAAGTCATATGATTGACACTCTAGTCAAGACTGTCATTCAAATGGGTACATGATGATGGGTTGGACTAATGGTTTCACAATCAGCATGATGTTCTTGTCATACTACTCTAGAGTAGTTAGCATTGTCAATTTACTAGTAAGGGTGTCTGGTTCTCAAGCCAGCTCTGTGATTACTGTGTCTGTCAGTCTTCCCAATTAAAAAATGGGATAATGATGATATGAGTGTCCTTTGCCTGAACTCTTACAGTAAGGTTTGTTGTCAGTACCTACAAAATAGCCTGGTGGTCTAATGACTGTTGAGTATTCCTTGATGACCATGGATATTCAAGGTGGGCAGGGCACTCAGAATGACCACTGATATTATACTTCCTCTTAGACCACTGACTTAGGTTTCAAGAAGACCTCAATTTTGACCTGCTGTAGCCAAACTTTTATGCAAAGGTTTTTTTAGGGTTCATTGAGAGGATTTTGTTACATGTGTTGATCCAGACTAAATTCCCTCAAATTCTCAATGCTAGCTACATATAGGCTATCCAGAAGTCAGAATATGAAAGGATTTTAAGAGAGATGTCCAAAGTGTCAGTCACTGCTGAGATGTCCATTGATATGGCAGAAACTATGTACTAATGTTAGTAACATGGGAGAAGATAAGTGTTGATGTTACTGGAGCAAAGGCCTAGTTGGGTTGAATTCTCAGGTAAGTGGAGGGGTGCTGTGAGGAAGAGTTAGAAGCTGAAGAGAACTCACTGGAGAAACTCCTGCAAAAAGAAAAGGGGTCAAAGCCATTTTGTCGTATGTCCATATCATAACATATCATAGAAAGGACAAGATCATGGGTAATAAGGTGATTAGTGTGCTCTATGCAGGGCAGTAAGAAATCATATCCCACACTGCCCTCCAACTCACAACTCTTGACCCACAACCTAGGTGAACATTTAACTTTGGATGCTGATCATTTTTAGAAAGGTCCACATATATCTGCATTATTTAATATCTCTATTTTTTCTTTCCCCTTGTACTCAGCTTCCTTTCTTCTGGAATGACACACTATGAATCAAAATATTGTGTTACTTCTATCGAAGAAAGTGAAAACTAGAGCTCTGTGACTCTATCTTGCATCATCCCTTTTCTGTGATTACTCACACCCAAATTTCTCCCGGCCCTTCAAGTTTGTGCTCCCATATGTAGATAAAGTTTCGTGAAGGACTTTTATCTCTCCTACTCCTTCCACCATGGCTCCTAGGAAACACCAAAAACCACCTCATATGGCTTACAGAGAAGACCAGCCTGATCCCACACACTGACTGCCTGTTATGAGCAGTTTCCCACCAGCCTGGTCCCAGAGCAGTGTCAGCCACAAAATAACACACAGGGACTCTGTTAGTTATAAAACTGTTGGCCAATGGCTACAGTTTCTTATTGGCTAGCAATGTCTTAAATATCAATCCATTTCTATCTAAATGTTTCCATGTGGTCTTATCTTACTGGAGAAGACCCTACATCTTGACTTCTCTCTACTACATCTCCCAGAATCCTCTTTGTCTCTTAGTCCCACCTATCTTGCTTTCCCATTGTCCAACAGGGCTTTATTCATTAACAAATACAAGAAACATATTTACAGAATGACATCTCCCATCATCTCCTCCTTTCTGTCTAAATAAAAAGAAGGGTTTTAACTTTAACATAGTAAAATATAATACAAAATAATTATCAAATAAAACTATAGTTAACAATATTTAGTCCATTACTATTTAGTAAGATTTAGAAAAATATTCTGTCTTCTATCTTTGTGAGTCTAAAGTCTTATATATAACTTACCTTTAATCCTAAGGAAAACTATAGCCATAATTATATGTCTTTAATTCCATCAAAGACTACAGAAGGACAGTATATAAACTCTAGAAATGACATAGACATCTCACAACCTGGACAGTCATTCGAAGTTCTTCTGTAAATTGGTGCATCCATCTTTGGCCCATAGGCCACAATGTATCTGACAGATTTCTCAGCAAAGTAGGAAATTTCAAACTGTCCCACCCGGGTTGGCAGTTTGTGAGACATTTTTCTCTGTATCAAGTAGAATGTCTTGCAGACTCTTCCATGAAGCAGGAACCCTGTAGCACTGTCCATCTTGTTTCAGCAGTCACTTTCCCGTGGGTCCTGCATGTCTACTTTATAAAGCATGTAGTTAAGCAGTCTAGACAAGAGCAGTATCTTGCCCAAATGGCTAGTCTTGCTATATTAGAAGCAAACTCCAATAATCAGTTTCTTTGATGCCCATCTTACTTTCTGATGCAGGTGGTGTTGCCAGGAACACCACCTCATTCTCATTCTCAAGAAAAACTTTAAAACATTTTAAATGCCATATTCTGTATGTCTTTGAAAGATTTGAAGAATGTCTATCCAATTGAAATATATTTCTGTATATCTAGAAAACCTAAACAACCTAACTCTAAGCTTTGACTATCATAGGTAACAATCTACAATCTGTACTTAATTATACATTACATTTTAAATGAGCTATATAAACACAATACTTAAACAGTAGGAGAAATACACTTATTCCAAAAAAGACCTTAAATTTGTATCAATAAATGAAAATCCATTCCAAAAAAAAAAATGATTCATTTCTATACCATAATTCCCTTTTTACCTTTAAAAAGAGATTGGTTGTGATCATTAACCATTCATAACCAACCTCATTTAAATGAAAACAAACATTTATAGACAATATTTGGGAATTTGGGCATTGCTTTTTCCACACTGCTTCATGCTGGTTGGGAACACTGTAATACCATAGGAATCCTAAGAATATGTAGAAATCCTGGATGTAGTCTGTAAGGCTTCCTTGTCCCAGCTGTTTTAAGCCTGGATGTAGTCTGTAAGGCTTCCTTGTCCCAGCTGTTTTGAATGTTGGATCATCTGGGACAGTTTCAGGGGTTCTTGGATGAACAAACCATGTTAGGCTGGAAGGAATCCACAGCTTTTCATCTTCTGTGGAAACAAAAATAGAAATTCTTTTCCCCAGTAACCTGTCCTTAGACTTAAATTTTGAAATCAAAGCATTTTTAAAATATATAAGTTGGATTAATACAGCATCATTGATAATCAAGCGTGTTTTAGCAATTGTTGCCCCCTCATTACCAATTGAGCTATTCAAAGACAACACAATAGCATACAGGATCGAGACTCTCTCTCTGTATTTCCCATATTTAGGTGGCTTTTTTACTACTATATTTATTTAGCTTTCTTTTTTTTCATTTTTTCATTTTCTGAGACAGGGTTTCTCTGTGAACTTTTGTCTGTCCTGAAATTTACTCTGTACACCAGGTGCACTTTGAAATCACAGAGATTTTCTTGCCTCTGCCCATTGAGTGCTGGAATTAAAGGCGTGTGCCATCACATCTGGCTACTCTCTTTCTTTCTATTTTTTTAAACCACTTTATCCTGTTTCTTTTTCTCTCCCAAGCCTACGCATATTTTAAAACACACTGTAAACCTTTAGAGGTTTTCTTTATCTTAATATGTCTTTACTGTAAATCTTTATCTTTTTCTGGACGAATGTCTTTTATCTGCTAAACAACTGCATTGCTTTCCAGTATGGCAGGGGTACATTTACCACCAGCACTGAGACCTGTTCTCACCGCCTTGGTCTATGTTGCCATCAAGCAACATGCTGCCGGCTTGGATATGTGTAAGGTGTATGGGTTTTTCTGCCCGCCGCCTGGTTTTGTCCCGCCGCCACGCCGCCAGCCCCAAATAATGCACAGACTCTGTATTTGATACAGATATGTGGTTACTGCCAATGTCAGCTGCCATACACACCATTCAGTTGGTAGCAGGGCCTCTTAAAAGTGCCCTGCAGTTTTTTCTCGGCTTGTCTCTAGTAAAACAGAGCCTGTCTGAGAAAAATGCTGCTACCAAAAAACCTTGCTTGTCTCTGTTCTTCTGCTTCTAAAATCACTTTTTAAGCTTTTGTCAGGTTTTATGTGGAATTTCTTAGTATCCATGTTGCAGTTGCTATTTTGTTACGATCAGTTTTCCAGACAGCTTGGTCCTACAGCCACATCAGTCCCAAAATAACACACAGAGACACTATTAATTATGAAACTGTTGGCCACTTACTAGCATTTCTTATTGGCTAGCTCTGCCTTAGCTATTAACTAATTTCTATCAATTTAAGCATTTCCTGGTGGTCTTATCTTACCAGAGAAAGGGTCCAAACCTCTTCTCTCACATCCTACATCTTGACTTCTCTTTACTACACCTTCCAGGATTCTCCTTGTCTCCTAGTCCCACCTATCTTGCTTTCCTATTGTCCAACTGGGCTTTATTCATTAACCAATAAAAGAAACATATTTACAGAATGACATCTCCCATCACCCGCCATTTTATACCTTTCTTGCCTTTGCTCTTTTTAAAGCAACTATTTAATATTTATTTTATGTGCATGTGTATTTTTCCTGCATGTATGTCTACATACCATATACATGTCTGGTGCCTGTGAATTAAGAAGACAGCATCAGATCTCCTGGGACTGGAGTTACATATTATCTTGAACTTCCATGTGGATGCTGGGAATCAAACCCAGGTCCACTAGAAGAGTGGTAAGATAAAACCATAGTATTTTTTTCACTGATGTATTTACTACATATACAATGGTATACTCACAGCTGAAATTTTCCTGTCATCTAGTGACATTATAGCTATTGTAACATGGTAATGGAATATATTACTCATACATGTGTGGTAATGTTGGTGCAAACAAACCTAGTAAACCATCAGTTAAAATAAATTATGCTCAGTGCATAATCCTTTCCAGTGATGATTGATGACTACATTCCTAAGTTACATATCTACTACACTATACTTTTACCATTATTTCAGGGTATGCTCCATCTACTTATAAAAAAAATAGTGAGAGCTGAGGTTGGAACTCAATGGCAGAGTGTGTATTTATCATCCACAAGGCCATTGTTTCAATGATGAACA